TCTCAGTGACCATGGGGGAGGATTGTGTAAAGAGTTACTTTGAAGTCAAAGCAAAGCAGCCATGGCAGGATGTGCGCATGCAAATTATATTCTAGCTTAGCTTATGCGACTCGGACATATCTTAAAGATTGCTAAAGCGAATGCCCTGTAATTCTGTCGATGGTCAAGATCCCTTGATAAATGAGGAAAGCATAGAGCATAAAGAAAAGATAAGAGTAGAAGTCACAGCGAAACGGAAGAATGGAAGGGAAGAATCGAAGATAAGAGAGGAAAGATCAGCAGATAATGAAAAAATAATTAGTAATCAAAAAGAGAAGAATATAGGGAAAGAAAAGGGAGCAAAAAGAAAAAAGAAAATAGATGAGAAGAAAGGAGAAGAGAGGAAACGAGGAGGAAGTAGAAGAAAAGAGATAAAAATACATAGATATAAAAAATGTGAAAGAAAATAAAAAAGAGAAGAAAACATGAAGAAAGAAGAAGCGAAGGCAAGAAAATAGAAGGAAGCTAAAGAAATGAAATGAAGGGAAAATACAAGTGGAAAAAAAGAAGAGCAGAGTAAGATGTAATATAGAAAAAAAAAGAAAAAAACTGAAATAAATAAAGAAAAAAGAAAACACATCTTTTCTATTATTCAAAAGAGAGGTTGAATGGTTGCAGAGCTTTGCAAAATCTCTAGTGAAATGAATATGACTGTATGAAGTGCAGCAATATCAGCAACTACTTTCATTAGCCTTGGGTACAGCTTCATTTTAGCTTCATTCAATTCGCATGCAGCTTAAGTGACCATTGTGGTGATTCCCTTGGGTAATTCCCTTAGGTTAGAATTGTATATTCACTTGGGCTAGAGCTTTATATTTGATAACTATTTTTAGCCTTTATAGAAATATATAAATGTATTTATAGTCTAGTGTCAGCTGAAGCTTTAGCAAACACATAGATACCCTAAGCTCGCATAGAGTTACCAAATGGACTTTAGAGAGACCGATGAGTACGGGCCTTTAATATATACTGGCTCTCTAGGTTAACTGAGAGATATGATTTTTAGCAAACAGAGATTTCAATTTTCTAGCTTTCCGTTTAGCTACGGGATGTGTAGGGTATTTGTCAGTCAGTCAGCGTGGGTAGGTGCTGCCAGCATCTCTGGCTGTTATTTTTAAGTTTCGCTCTTTGTGGTATTATTTCAAGTGCTTGGCAAAATAGCAAAAATATACATATGTATATATGTATGTATATGCATATGAAGCATACGCCGTGTTGGCCGTGACTTTCAGGATTTTAGTTTTTCGGGGTTTTGGCCCGCTGCAATGCATTAACCAAATTGAAGAGTGAACTAGTGTGCAGCTCCCTCTCTGTCTCTCTCTCTCTCTCTCTCTCTCTCTGTATACATTTGTTGGTGTGCAAACTCAATCATGTGGAATGAGTTTTGATTAAAAACATAACAAAGTTATTCAAGAAACTTTGCAATGGGCTCACTCAAGCTCAAGCATGTGTGTCATCAGCCACTCTCTTCGCTCACTCACTCTCTCACTGTCACTCTGTCCCTATCGCGCTCGCTCACGCTCTGCATCGATCGGTTTTGCTGAGCAGAAATTTAATTACATACTGCACATGCTGCCCCAATGGCGAAGAGCTGAAATGTACGCTCATTAATTAGACAATAAAGTGATTTATTGAAGCGCGTTCGCAGCAGTCGCCTCGTATGCAGATGAGCAGGACTCGGGCAACAGGCCACAGGCAGGCACAGAGACACAGCACACAGGAAAGGCTACAAGGAACACCACACGCAGCAGCAGCAGCAGCAGCACACACACATGTGTCGACAGGTCATCCGCAGAGTCACATAGATTGCAGACAAAGCGCTTTGTGTCACAGCAAAACTGTCTGTCTCCCTCGCTATATCTCCCCCCATCTCTCTCTCACACCCTCTCTCTCTCTTCCTCTTCCTCTCCACTGCCCACTCTCTTTCTCTCTCTCTCTCTCTCTCTCTCTCTCTCTCTCTCTGCGGGTTGCTCTTTACGCCTGAAAGGAGTTGACATTTTAATTTTATTGCAGCTTCTAACGTAAGCAAACAAGCTACTGGCTTTGACAGTGTTGGCTAACGTCAAGCTACACACACAGCAATATGCATAGATATGCATGTTCCAGGTTTTGTTATTATGATTTTAAGCATTTACATATAGATTAACATGCTATTAGCATAACATGCATAATATTTTCTGGTTGCACGCTTAGTTTTCTTATGAAACAGTGTTGGTAAGGCGTAAAAGCAGTTTATACGCATATTACTTAACATATTGTAGGGTTACAGCAATAGGGCTCCACACATGGGACACGTTACATAGCTGTTAGTCTTATTTGAAAGCCATTCAATATGACATATTACATCATGCAAAGAAACTTCTCAATTTTGCTATATGTGACCAAAGTTTAAGATCTAGTCCAGAATGTCTCAGTTTTATATTCAGGCATAACTTATTGTTGACTTCAAATCTATGAGTCAATTTCGTGTGAGAAGTATAAGTCTCTTCATGATCAAGTGACACATCTTATTGAACAATTCAAGAGTTGTTCGATTATCAAGAACTTTTATAGCTGTTAAAAAATGGGAATCGGATATAGTATGACTTTAGTTTGGTCATTTTATGCTCTATATACATACAGTAGAATCCGGCTATAACGACTCCGCTTATAGCGCCCGTACGGTTATTGCGACGAAAATTCTGGTCCCGAGACAAACTTTTATGAACAAACTTATACGGTTATAGCGCCTTCCGGGTATAACGACTTGAGTCCCTTGAGTTTCGTTATAGCCGGACTCCACTGTATAGACATATATACTTCCCACCATATGAAACCATTTTAGACTTTGTTAGAGTGATTCTTGCTCTCAAATCTACATTTCTTATGTACGGATCCCTACCCTAAATGCCCCATTGTAAATACCAGCATTTCATTCCACTTTACTAGCAGCTGCAATCAAATGAGGTTCTCAGCTAGCAGCACCAGCAGACCTCAGGGAATACGGAGCTCAAGAAGTTTACTTTGAAAAGCCTTCGAGCATATGTAACCATATACTTATTTGACTTCCCTGTAGTACCCTACAGCCTATATTCTTCCATCACACACTTAAAGTTTTACAAAGATTTTAATTTTAAGAAGAAAATCTCACATAAAGCTTAATTAAAAAACACAATTCTATTAAATATACACACACTCCTGCAAACATATAACACATCTACATATGTATATTGTATAAGCCTTTGACTTGCGAGGCATAAGAGTCATCCAGGCACACACATTTGTCAAAGCGGCAATTTACGGAGCCCATCTCATATTTGTCTCTATTACAGCGCTGGCTATGACAACGGCTGCGTACATTGAGACAGCGATGACGGCCTCGTTGACGCAGCCACAGGCACGGCCGCAGCCGCAGGATAATCTACGCATATTCCTGCGCCATTTGTACGTCGAGTGCGTTTATCGCTATCAGAATGATACAGCGAAGGGCGATGCCACAGGTAATTCCCAGCTGCTGTAGCAGCTCAGCGCATTTCACATTCCGTTCATTGTGCCCCAACACGATCATACCGAAAGCATTTGCTACAAATTAAAAAGAAAGCATTAAATGAATACGGGTAAAACTTAAAGGAAAGACAGTCGAATGGGCCTTCACAAGAACTTTTAGTTTTATTTAAGGCATAGTCACACTGTGCAGGATATCAACATAAGTTTAAGAGTTGCATTAAATAATATATGTACTACTTAAAACATACAATCGCACACTCAAGCACAATCGAATTCGATAACACATAGAAGTAGGTATGAACTTTGATGGAGCTTTACTTAGGTACAGTCTCACATTGTTAAAAATTCCTCTATGGTACAAGTAAGCTTAAATGTACCTACTTTTTGGTACACTATATTTTAACTCTCAGTAAGAATTTTACTCAGCTACGCAATGTAAGGAAAATTGTTATTGAGAAACGTGAGTGAGTGTACCAAAGAGTAGGTACATTAAGCCTACTTGCACCATAAATGGATTTTGAGCAATGTGAGATTGTACCCTACACATATACATTATTGGTTCAGTTCTTCTCAAATATCTATATATATATATACATACATATGTGTGGATACATTCAATCACATTTAGCTACTAAAGCAAAGTTACACTTGGGTACACTCTCACTTGGGCACCCTTTCAGTTAGGTACAATCTCACTTAGGTACAATCCAACACTTCGCACTTGCGTACTCTAGTTCATGCCGACTTTAATCTACAATCCGACTCAAGCAGACACTCATAGGTCTGGACACTCTCAGCTGTTTGTCCAAGCCCAATTCACATTTGACCATTTCAAACAAATACATATACAAACACATGCATACACATACAGAGGTGGTCAAAAGTATTTACACAACGAGCATTTTTCTACATGCTCTGCTTAAAGAGCYTTTTTTTGTTGTTTTCGTTCGCCGTTTTTGAAAAAAATCTTTTGTGGCATAAAGCCTATTCTATGTAGAAGCGATCGGCTAAAGAAATTGCTAAAATAACGGTACATGCTAATAAATAGAGCGAAAAGAAGAATTACTTAGAGGTTGTCAAAAGTATTTACACACATTTTTTTTGCGTCNGACGCAAAAAAAATGTGTGTAAATACTTTTGACAACCTCTAAGTAATTCTTCTTTTCGCTCTATTTATTAGCATGTACCGTTATTTTAGCAATTTCTTTAGCCGATCGCTTCTACATAGAATAGGCTTTATGCCACAAAAGATTTTTTTCAAAAACGGCGAACGAAAACAACAAAAAAAAGCTCTTTAAGCAGAGCATGTAGAAAAATGCTCGTTGTGTAAATACTTTTGACCACCTCTGTATATATATACATTTATACATGTATGTCTATGATAGACTCCGGCGATGAGGAGCTGATGCTGGCAACGTTCACAACGATGCCGCGGTACTTGGAGCAGGCGGTGCTCAACGAGGGCACCATTGATATGCAGGATGTGGACGAGGAAGCGGCCAGCGAGAACGAGCTCTATGCGACGATTCGCTCGATGACAATGGAAACAAATCAACATTCACGTAATGCAACCAGTGAAATGGAGACTCTCTATTGTCCCGTGAATTTTGATGGCTATCTCTGCTGGCCGCGCACGCCAGCTGGCACCGTATTGAGTCAATACTGTCCGGACTTTGTCGAGGGTTTCAGCAGCAAGTTTCTGGCACACAAAACGTGAGTTCAATGCGATATTAACCTTGCCAGCAAATCAAACCTAACAGCACATATTTATCTATACATATATATACTCTTGAGCGTTACTCATAAACATCTCAATTTGAATCATAATACATTCCAAATGCAACAACGGATGTCCATTAGCTCATACTTGTTGTTTATATACACATGAATATATTGCAAATTTTATGGATTGCGATGCTGAAATTATTCGGAATTCAATTTATGAACGATGGCTCTAAAATAAATACAGAACTTTCGATCCTTTTTCTCAATCATAAGTCAAAGTTGCGAATTTTCCGGGAATTTTGTAAGAATATTTATATTTAATCAAAGACATTCGCTTTATATGAAAACAAATTTATAAAATTCATGAGAACCAATTCCAATGAACTAGCTCACAATGGAAATATTGATACATCATATCTCCAATTGTCCCAAACTTAAGCTTCTGAAATGATATATCACCTGTAGTAATATCAGAAGATAAAACAAGAACTAGTTCAAATGAGCGAGTTCATAGAGCTAGTTCCAGTTTCACTAATTCAAATGAGCAAGCTCACAATCAATTATTATCCAATGAGAATAGTTCAAATATGATTTATGATAGTCCACGTTGAGCTGTACTTATAGCTCCATTTCGTTTCAAATGGAAAGAAATAGTTCTTTAGCTTGAGCTCTAGAATATTTGTCGATATAATAATAATAGCTATATAAACATATGAATATATCTTCACCATATATGACCAACTGAATGTGCGTTTAGCTGTTTGGAGAATGGCACCTGGTATCGGCATCCGGTAAGCAATCAGACCTGGTCAAACTATACCAACTGTGTGGACTACGATGATTTCCAGGTAAGTTCCTTGAGAAATATGTACATACTCGGCTAGTTTTAACAGTCTTTGAGTTTGCAGTTCCGACAATTCGTGAATGAGCTATATGTGAAGGGCTATGCACTATCGCTATTGGCTCTGATAATATCGATTGTTATATTTCTCGGCTTCAAGTACGTACGAGCTGGGCAATTAGCCAGGCTAGCGTACGATGCTGATGCTGATGCTCTATCTCACAGATCCTTGCGCTGCACCCGGATCAGGATACACGTGCATCTCTTTGGCTCACTCGCCTGCACCTGCATCGCCTGGATACTCTGGTATCGACTGGTCGTCGAGCAAACCGACCAAATAGCCGAGAATCCCGTAAGCTCCATAGGCTGGTCCCACGTGTTGAATAGACGAATTGAACTCTCCTTTGCCTATTGCAGCCCTGGTGCATCGCTCTGCACTTGGTGGTGCACTACTTCATGCTGGTCAACTACTTCTGGATGTTCTGCGAGGGTTTGCATCTGCACTTGGTACTCGTTGTGGTATGTGTGCGTGGCCCGGGAAGATGAGCGCTTCCTCGCCTTTGCGACGTCCATTCAAATGCAAATTGCTTTAATTGCTATACAACTTTGCATAGGTTTTCCAAGAATTCTTGATGAGATTTCCAGCTGCCTTAATTTATGTGAAAGCATTTTTAGTATTTTCTTCCTCTACTTCTTCCTMTCTTCTTCTTCTTCTTCGACGCCATCGTTGTCGCTGCAACTGTTGCAACATCTTCATCAAATTGAAAATTCTAAATGTCATAAGCCGTTATATATATATGTATATACCCTGCTAGTGTAGGGTATTATGATGCTGTCGACCCAATATGAAGATTTTGTCTTTTTTTTAAGGGTTCCCATTTGTTAGCATAGAAAATTAGTAATTATAGGGTACATTACAAGATATTGTTGATTGGAAATACAGTATAGAATATATATTATATATAGTATAGTATATTCAGGACATTGCACACCATAATATCTACATTCAAGTATATACATATCACAGAGTTAAGTTCACAGGGTATGTATACATTATAGAGTAGATATTTGAGCATGCATAGACGTTAAATATATAGGGTATTGGATATACATTAATTGATATACATTAAAGGGTATACAGAAAAGTAAATGCATTATAGAGTTTATATTATTCATTAAAAATTATGCATTCAAGGGTATATACTGAAAGGTAAAGTTAAAGTGAATAAATCATAGAGTGAAGTGATAAAAATATATTATATATACATATATGTTGAAGAACAGTAAATTTTCATGTATATGACCTAAAGATACTCTGCAACAGACTAACATATATAATGGAAGAGCATTCAGGCTTCTCCCAATCACAGCTCATACTAATTCCCATCATCTTCCAGGTCTTTGTTAAGGACACGATTGTCATGCGCTGGTTCAAGCTGCTTAGCTGGCTCTCTCCGTTGGTCTTCGTGCTACCCTATGGCGTTGCCAGACATTTAAGTGTCAACGATAATGAACAGTGAGTAACGAGTGGGTGGTGGTGCTGTCGGTAGTGGTCGACTAGCACATACCCTAACGAGAGGGTGTTGCAAAGACTTACCTTATCTTTTGGAAATATCTTTAGATGACCTTAAATATGATTTGCCATTTTATAAAAATATACTGACTATATAAATTCTCATCACAGTTGCTGGATTAATGACAGTCTCTACCTGTGGATCTTCTCGGTGCCCATCACCCTCTCGCTGCTGGCTAGTTTCAGTGAGTATTACGCGGGGATCGTATCGTATATAGGCATACCTTATAGCTGATAATATCTTGCAGTCTTTCTGATCAATGTGTTGCGCGTGATTGTGCGCAAATTACATCCACAATCCGCACAGCCAGCACCACTGGCCATACGCAAGGCGGTGCGAGCGACGATTATTTTGGTGCCACTCTTCGGGCTGCAGCACTTCTTGCTGCCCTATAGGCCGGAAGCTGGCACCCAGCTGGATCGCTTCTATCAGCTGCTGTCCGTGGTGCTGGTCAGCCTGCAGGGCTTTGTGGTCTCGTTTCTATTCTGCTTCGCCAATCATGATGTGACCTTCGCCATACGCACAATGTTGAACAAGTGGATGCCGAGCCTGATTGCACCGCCACCGGCTGGGAGTAATACTGGACAATTGGCTACCACCACGCCCAGTCGTGAACTGGGCGTCTAATCAAAGACAGCTCTACACCATGCAAACCCTCGAAATGGCCCAATTGCGTTTCTAAACAAAGTCCAGCTTGAATCCGCTTAGATCAACACATGCCCAGCTGGATCCAGAACCGAAGTAGATTGATGCATACAAAACTACCTGGAATTACAGCAGATCTATGCATACCTAGCTACCTTATATGAAGAGTATTACCACCTTATAGAGCTTGTACTACTCTGGTATTTTTGTAGCCATATCAATATAGAAACGTCAAAGATTGTTTGTTAGTATTCCCGTTGTCTATCACATGTCTATTGTCTATTATCGATATATTATAATCATAGTTATAAGATTCTTTTTTTTTTTTTTAAGAAAACTTCATTAAGACCTGGGAAAGAAATAGCATACGTACTCCATGTACCTAAGAAAAACATGTTTGTGCCAACAGAATGTGGAAACTATATATATTTATATAAAGAAACAGAATTGACATACATGAATATATTCATATAAAATAACTATTTATATATATCTATATACATGTAATCGAATATTACGTAGTATCTAGCATATTAAAATATCAGCAGAGTAATCCTATTGAAAAAGAAAATCGGAATGATACTTGGAATATGCAGATATATGTATATCTATATACATTTATAAATGCATCAATATATTTATCTATGTAAAGATATACATATGTATAGATACCTATGTCTATATATATATATACATAATTATTGTAATACTCACCTATGTAACCAATCAAACAACAAATTTTAAACAGTATTTAGTGGAAATAAATCATGTTAATGGCATATACAAAGAGTTTTTCTTGTGCATTACAGAACATTGTATCGAAGAGCGACTTCAAGTATATGATGTATACATAGAAAGAGAGAGAAATAGAGAGAGAGAGAGAGAGAGAGAGAGAGAGAGAGAGAGAGAGAGGGAGAGAGAGTGTGTAAGAGACGTAGCTCTGGAGCAAGAGAGAAATAAATACACAGAAATAGAAAAATAACAGCGAGGAATGCATGGAGAGACTTAGAGAAAGGCTAGAGATATGTAAAATAAGAAGAAATGTAGAGAAAACGATAAAGAAATAACTACTCAGACACAACTTTGGCATAAAAACTTATAATCAGAACTAACAACTAGGGGAAAGAAACGAAAACGAAAGAGATTGAGAGAGAAATGGGGAAACGAAAGTACGAGAGAGACTGATTGAGTTTAATAAGGATAGGAAGGATATGGACAGCAATAAAAGTAAAAGCAATAGCACGAGAGAGATAAGAAGACAGGAACACTAATAGATTGGAGAGATAGAATGAATGAAAGGGATAGAAAACAATAACTTAAATTAGATAGGAGATGTAGACCGAGAGAGGGATATCAAGGAAAAAGAGAGAAGTACAGATAGCTTGATTAATAACAAGGAAACGCATATAAGATGGATGCATAAAGTGTATATAGAGAGAGCAACACAGTGAGGCAGACTGACAAAAGTAAAAGAAACAGATAGTTTAGGGTGTTTGTTCTCTATGAAATCGCTCCAAGTTGAGTAAAACTAGAATTTCAAAATCTCTTTTTCATTTAAATTCACGTTGTTTTTATTTTTGTGTCTGTTTGTTTTTGTTTTTATGTTTGGGTTTTCTCTTAATTTCGTTATCGCTTCGATTTCGTTAAAAATTTGGATGTTTGTTTTGTTTTTTTTTTTGTGAAAGGGTTG